TGTGAACTTGTGAAGTTCATTTGCTAAGTTCCGAGGCAGCACCAGCTATAATCCTAACAGACAAAATGCAAACCAGTTACTTGACTCATGTACACCAGAGAATATATTTAGTGTTTTTTACAGTATCTAGTCAGACAAATCCATTGCATTCATTCATTTTGATGGAAATGAAAGCACCAAGCAGTTAATTGGGGGTCACCTTGTAGAATAAGGTGCTAGTTAGGCAATGAATAAAAAGTAAATTTCTTTTGGAATTCTTTTAATGTGCTGCTGTATGTTGACAATTGTGGATATGAAAGATAATACACATTAAAACATGTATCTGATTATACTTGCCATGTGCTCCCCTATTAAACGTTCCAAAATGAAATGCAAACTTTCATTGTGCTTCTCCTAATAAGTATCTTCTTAAACTCATTTATCAGCTTCAGAACCTCTCCCATAGCTCTGCAGAATGGAAAACAAAGTGAAACGAAGTTAACTGATGTTCACATTTAGCTCCATTTACATCCCCTTTAATTCCTATACTGGACCACCTATCCTTCTGCCGTACAGACAAATATGTACAATATAAACAATGGAAGGCAGCAGAAATTTATAAAACAGAATATTCTTCCTAATAGTCATCCTATGTCCATGTCAGCCTTAAAGGGAAAAAAATGGAAATATACCACATACATGGATTCAGTTAACTCAGAAATCTCTGAATTCCAAAGGCTCAGTATCCAATATTTACAAATTACTAATAAGCTAGGTTATGGTTCCTCCCAGGGCCTTAGGATATCCTGGGAGGGTGACCTTGAATGTCAGATTGATTAACATGAACGGGATCAAATTTGTATAAATGCTTCACTAAAAACTAAATAATATAGGATTCAGTAATCCACTCTAAAAAAATACTTAGGTGGTATTGGACTCAAGAACACCTTTTCAAAATCAATAAAATATCTCTCCACTAAGCTTACAAGGCCATAATACTATTGGAACTTATATGCATATGTGGTGGGAATGTGAAGTTTTATATAGTTTTTGGATTAAGGATTTTACCACTATCTCTCAAATAACAGATAAATCACCAACACCAGATCTAGTCTTGGCCTTGCTTTCACAGAAAGCAATGCAAATTCCAGATAATCTTATAAGACATTGGTCTTTTTTTCATGAGCAGCAGCCAGAACGTAAATAGCAAGTCAATGGAAATCTCGTTCATCTCCCATGGTTGATTATTGGTTTGATAGAGTCTGGGATATAGATCTCCCAGAGCGTCTCACCTATAAAAGAAAAGTAACCAGGGGAGACTTCAAATCAGATAATTTTTATGCTATTTGGCCTAATTTTTGATATATGTCAATATAATAGAGATGGAGCACAGATCCCCAGAGGTTCAATTATGTTTGTGGAGATGATATATTTTAGAAGATTAGGATAAAGTGATTTCTCAATGTCTTGGACTGTGATTATAAAAGAAGCATTGCATGAATCTTTCCTTTCCTTCTCCTCCCTTCTAGTTTTCCTCCTGCCTCCTTTGTATCAGGATGTTTGATGTTGTTTGTATTTTGTCTTTATTTTAAAATTTACTAAAGTTTCTTTAAAAAAAGTTAACTGGTTAACGTTGAATTGTAAATGCATTTCTAATATAGCTTTATTCATTCCATTAGGAATAAAGTATCTGGATAGGATAAATCAAAAATGCGTAATAAAAACATATCCACGATTGGGTTAAAACTATTTTTACTGACATCCATATAAGATGTAGAATCGACAGCATATACAGATGTGAACAGAATGGATATCTGGCATATAGTTAAAAAGATTACCAGACGACGTCTGAAGCAGCAGTGGATCCAAGTACACGTTCAACATTTTCTTCTGTCTTGCCACCTGAAAGACACACCAGTACTTGAGATGCTTCACTTGCTACAGAGATTACAGGTGGAAGTTTCACTTGCTGGAACAGAGTGCAGAGTGGCTCTACTTGAGACCTCTCCTAGTCCCAGGTCATCACTGCTTTCTACACATGCTACAAAGCCCTACGCAGGCATTGTTTCCTTGCATATAAACAGCCACAGGAAGGTCAGTGGAGGCACAATGCCCAGCCATGCCCCATGTTATCCCTGGGCCCCTTACAGGATGGGGGGCTGAAACAGAACCGCCTCCCAGATGGGAAGGCTCCCCACGACTTTGAAACACAGGTGCACAATCAGTGTTCTAAGTTGTGTGGGGAGCTTCCAAGAGTAGAGAAGGCTCCTTGCTCCACACCCTCACTCTCAAACCCATGGAGCGCTGTGTAGGGGCCCAAGGTGATGCACTAAAGGGGATCGGGCTTGGCAGCACATCTCCACTCTTCCTCATGCAAGCCTATGCATTTGAGAAAACAGAAAGCAGTAAAAGCGCTATTGTGACCAGTATAGCCAGGGGAAGTGGGGACCAATTATTCTGCAAACTTCCCCCCGGTTCATTAGGTGTTTCTGCTGCCATGTGCAGATTTTATCAGTGATTGTATTTAATCAGCATGCCAGCATCACTTACTCCCAGTGATACCTACCATGCTAACATTGTATGCTCTGGCGTCAACCACTTCTGGCATCAACCATTTATACACTATGCCAAGCATGTGAAACATCGCACAGGGTAACGGTTCTTTCAAAACCACTCCCAGCATTGTTTTTAAACTAGGGATAACATTTCATGTGAACTGCAGGCATTGTGGTCAAATATTTTGTGCATTTTTTGACACTAGGGTGGTTCATTAGCTGTAAAAAAAGCTTTAAGCAGTTAACACATCTGCATTTTCATCAGTTAATTGATTCATTTATTATTTAGATACCAACAGATCTGTCCACCATCAGACTTCCACTAAAGGTGACTTTAAGACACAATATAACACTCCATTTAATAAACAATAAGTTTCTCCTTAAGAAGGAAAGTCCTCTTAGATATTTTCCTTTTAATTCCCACTATAACAGCACACCAGAACTTTATTAAAGTGTCTTAAAAAATAAGCAAGCATTCAGCTTTGCCAATTAAATTTTGTGCTCACTGATTAAAATTGGTCCCTACAATTTAACCAACCAAAGCTTTACTTGATTAACCCACCAACTAAAGCTTGCAGCTCTGTTTCACAAACATGCTTTGGAATTTCCCAGTAGTTTCTTCCTATAAGTAAGATGTCAGTAATGACAGTAGCTTCTTAAAAACACACAGTGAACTGCCTTTCTCTGCTGAGCTATATCTCAGTGCTCTGGGCTCCATTTGGGATGTAGAACTGACTGGTCTTCTTTCATCTTAGACATAGTTACAGTCTCCCAACCCAAGCAACCTATATAAGACATTTTATTTAGACATAAGAGAGACAGATATTTCAGTAAGGAGTCTTCTACCACAGCTGCATGGTTCAGAAGAACCCAGAGTTATTGAGATGACAGCCTTCTTAACTGAGAAATTGAGATATAAAAAAATGTAATTCCAAATTGACCACATTGTAGAGTGCCAGAGTTTGATTAGTGTTACAACTTTGATCTATGCACCACAGGAAGAAGTCTGGTAGGTATTGCCATGGGACCTTAATTTTAGGATTAATCAAAGTGTTGGGTATTCATTGTACACTCACCATAAACTGAAATTTTCTGTGTATTGAAAATAACTCAGAGCTGACTTTCTGTAGCAGCCCATTTTGCTGAAACATCTGAAGCCCATGCAACATAGAAATATGTCATACGTTCAAGTTATGCTAATCACAGTATTTAATATTATAATATGTTATTAATCCAGATGCACACACCATACACTAGCGTTCCCCAATCTGGTGTCCTCCAGATGTTTCAGACAACTCCCAGCAGCCTCAGATGTCATGGCTAGTGGTCAGGGATGATGGGAGTTGTAGTCTGAAACATCTGGAGGGCACCAGGTTGAAGAAGGCTGCTAGAGGCCCCATCTACATAATATCTAGTTTTAGCAAGGACCTCATTAGCAGCCCAGCAATTAGCTTGGAAATTTATGTACCCTTGGCTAATCGATATCAGTATTAGAGAAGCATTGAACCTTTTGTATGGGAAAGAAAATTATGCACAACTTCAGAGTTAATTGTGACACCTTCTTAAAAAGTATGGGTAGAGCTCCTTTGAAGCCTGTGGAGAAGCAGTAATTTAAAAAACAAGGAAGAAGTAATTTATAAAGCAGCCTTCCTTTCCCTATTAGTTTTCCATTACCCCTTCATTTTTGTGAGTGACTTCTGGTGTATGCAGATAGAGTAAATAGGCAATAACAAATGATGGGAGTTAATGTTACAGAGCTGAACTATTTACATAAACTTAAGCAATAGTATTCAATCAAATTGCTCCTTCCTGTACAATGCTATAAAAATATGACCCTTCCTCTCTGCCTTCTCAGTGAAAACTGGTTCAAGTTCCAGTTAACTCCCATTTCCCTGGCTTTCTGATGCCACTCCTTGGTCTTCTCACTAGCTTTGTTCAAAATTCTGTCACCTTTTGTTACTCAGGCCATGTGGTCTCTGTTAAATCCATTCACAGCTGGATCCAGCATGACTTCCTCATTCCTACCTTCAAAGCCCTCCCTTGCTTTACTCTTGCTTTACTCCAACTTCTTATTCTGATATATCTGTGCCTGCGACCTTCTCTTTTCCAGCTTTCCCATCCAAAGGTTTCCTGCTCCCTTAAATGTCAGTGTTTTCACTCTTGCTACTCCCATTTGCTTGGAACTCCCCCACAGAAACCTAGGATTGTCACCTCTCTCTTTCCCTGAAAACTCCTCCTAAAAAAATGTATTTTCTGTGACGCCTCTGACACATCCTCATCTTCTACTGAAACAAAGCATACGAGTAATAGGCACACGTTCTTCTCTGTTTCAGCCTTCACCTCGTGTTTCCTCTCTTCTCTTGTTACCCTATAAAGTGCCATGATACAGTCATAGACTCAGAGAATCAAACAGTTGGAACAGACTACAAGGCCCATCTAGTCCAACCCTCTGCAATGCAAATATTTTACCCAACATGGGGCTTGAACCCACAATGCTGAGATTAAGAGCATTATGCTCTACCAACTGAGCTATCTCGGTTAACAATAGTATCTCTTTAACTTTGTAGGTTTGTTGCTAATTAATGGTTGATCGTTATGTTGCTTTAAGACAGGGGTAGCCAACATGGTGCCCTTCAGAGGTTGCTGAACTACAATGCCTTCATGGGCCCTGCTAGCAGGGGCTGATGGGAGTTGTAGTTCAACATCAGGAGGGCACCATGTTGGCTATCCCATGCTTTAAGATAACCAGCAGTTGAACACTGAACTATCACTTCTCTCCCTCCCCTGCTTCTTTGCCCACTATTTTTTTCCCCAGGTCCAACATTTCAACCCACTAGACAAATATAAAAAGTGAAAATTCAAGAACTTTGGAAAATTTAACCCATTATGTATTTATGGTACTCTGGATATTCACAAAATTATATGCACAAGTTTCTCACACTGAAGCAGTTTCAAAGGAAATTAAACCAATAACTGAGCCAATTTTTATTCTGCTTGTTATGCTATATTTTAAATATTTGAGTATAGCACACATAAAATAAAACTCAGGTAGTATTGCTTAGACTTGCAAGATTTTCATGCTCATTTTCTGTAATTCCATTTGTTGCCGTCTGCACTATATTATTTGTTGACGTGTGAGTTATCACTTCAATAAGTCTAAGTGTAAACCATATACATGCTATTTCTATAGTAACATACATTTGATAAAATCTGACCAGGATCTGACAGGATATGCAGTCTCTTCGATTTGGCATATTTCAAGTGACAAGAAACATTTCCTTATTCTGCTCTGAAGTTTATTTGAATTTTCAAACAGTCATGCTTTTGCGGTTTAGCAAAACAGAATAAAAATCACTGTGGGAAATTGCCACAGTTAGACATGGGTATAACCTCTCTGAGGTTCTCCTAGCACAGTAGGGTTTTTGCACAGTTTCCATGTATCTCCATGGAGATTGTGCAGGAAAATCTCATGGAATAATTTTAATATCTGTTTTTAACCAGTATTAACAGCAGAGTTACTAATTGCTGCTGATTTTAACTATTATCAGAAGTAAAGGTCTGGAAACAGTGGCAGTTTTATCTGGTAGCTTTATTAAGATCCAGATGAATGAATATGTAAAATCTGGCTACACAAACCATTTTTATCTAGCACATTCCATTAAAAAGAGAGAGAGAGTATGCAGTAAACTGCATATAAGGGTTGTGTCAAAGTTTACAGAATAGGACCCTTGGTAGCTAGAATAGCATTTCCACAACAAATCAAAGGTATTGTTCTCAACTTACATGAATATACAGTAGCCATTACCTTAAATTTAAGCATCACAATGAGCGTCAAAACCACTGTGGAGATATGAAAGCCATATTGTATCAGTGCAGTCTGCAGAGATTTTTTTCTTGCAGCTTTGCTGTGCTGAAATATATGTTGCACTTGAAAGCTAAAGGGATTACTTTTGAATAGTCATCACAAAGGTTGATTATATTCGTATATCATTTAGCTAGACCCTGCAGGCTATTATTCCATTAGCTGTGCTTGTCCACTCCTGCCCTGTCAAAAAGTTGATCATATAATGTGAAAAGGCCAGACAGTGTGTTAAACTATGAGAAGTGCTTCAGAAAAGCACAGGAATACTCTATTTAAAAATAATTATAACCCTATTCAGGTGGCAGTCCTAAGTGTATTTATTTAGAGACAAGCTACACGGAGCGACCGGGTTTATGACTGGGCTGGAGAGTCTAGCAAAGATAAGTACCAGGCAAAGTATGAAAGAAGGATTACATGAGATCAGGGCTTTTTCCCCAGCCAGAACTCACCAGAACTCAGTTCTGGCACCTCTCAGGTGGGCACATTGCCATTATAAGAGAACAAAGGAGTTGTTCACGGTGAGTTCTGGCACCTCTTTTTCTAGAAAAATAGCACTTTATGAGACTACTATACATAGTTCAGCTATCGGTTAAACAGTTCAAAAACACATATTAAGTGTCGAGGGTCTACAGAACTGCTGGATTTTTTAATCACCTTGTCAGCATTCCAGAATAGAACAATTTTAAGTCAGACCTTAGCTTGTCTTGGAGGCTTAGTTAGGGCAGCAGGGCAGATTCAGTTTTGCAGCTCTCATTGGCTTTGTGTCTGCTGCCTAGCACAAGCAGGTAGATTCAGCCTTTGAGCATCCTATCCTTTCACCATTTCTCTCAACCTCTTGTCCCCCTGCTCCATTCTTCATTGTTCCCAAGCTTCTGCCTTGGAGTTCAAACCATGTTTAATGCCAGGCAGTGGAAGCTGGTGGCACTTTTGACTTGGCAGGGCTGCAATTTCTAACTTTGTTGTTTTCCTCACAATAGGACGTGTACAGCAAAGCAAAACAGGCTTCTCCAAGTAGGAAACACTTCCTGCTGCTTCTCTTGATGGAAAGGTGTGGCCATCAAGGAAACAGCTCTGAGCATCCTCAGAATAGATATTTACGATTCAGATAGGTCTACCAGGTGTGCCCTTGCAATTCCCCTTAGTAAGGAAATGCCCTGATTTGCCCTAATGGACCAGCCTTCTCTGATGCCAGGTCCCTGGGGAGACACAGAATTGGGAACCTGCCTAGAACTTGTCCCATGCATAAAAATGTCTAGGCACAGCTCTGATGCGGATCAGTAAGCTAGATCTTCTAGAGTTTAACAGACAAGCAGTCCTGTGTTTGGTGGGTACAGGTAACAAATAAGGAAACAGAACAAATGAAACGGAACAGTAATATTAAATAATAAATACCAGAAGGAAGCCATGCTAAATTTGTTGCAGCAAAAAAACCATAGTGTCCTGTGGGCACCTTGAAGACAAAGGCATGGATCTTATGAGAATATAACTTAAGGAAGTTCATGGAAGTCAAATTTCCTCTCCCCCTGTAGCCAGCTGCTTCCCACCTCATAAACCTCTCAGGACAGTTGAACAATGTAAGATACATGGGATGTAATCCACTGGGAACAGTCAAGTACAACATTACAGTGGTACCTCGGGTTACAAACACTTCGGTTTACAGAGTCCGCTAACCTGGAAATAGTACCTCAGGTTAAGAACTTTACCTCAGGATGAGAACAGAAATCGCATGGCGGTGGCACGGTGGCAGCGGGAGGCCCCATGAGCTAAAGTGGTACCTCAGGTTAAGAACAGTTTCAGGTTAAGAACAGATCTCCGGAATGAATTAAGTACGTAACCAGAGGTACCACTGTACCTGTTTTGCTAGAGTGGTCATGCAGGAGATGGTCTAGTCAGCTGAACTTCCTGTTACACCTGGCTGGAGCATCCTTCCTTGCATGTGACTAGTAGGTGGGCATGAACTTTCCAGACCTGGTAAAAGGCCAAGTCTCACAGCCACCTCCCTCTTTTCGATCTTCTTTTTCGTCCTGCAAACTTCCTGATTCACCTGGACTGTACTGCTGGCTGCCAGCCATCAACCCCGCCCCCCAGGTTATATCCCATATGGGGTAAACCTGTTTGTACATGTTTGTAACTTTAAGCTTAAAGCCTGTCTTCAGGGATCACACTGTGCTCTGTCTGATTGCAAGTAAAACTACTTTTTGTTCCTTATGAATAAGACTGTGGTGTCCTTATTCTTTTAGGAGGGATCAAAGGGGTCTTACCAGGAATAATAGAACATTTCTCAATCTGGGCAAGCCAGATTGAATTGTCTATTGTCTTAAGAGGCTCACACAAGTCTGAAACCAGTTTTCTGCTGCGTAAGGGGGGAATGCTCTCTGCTATATAAAGAAACTTGCTAGTGCGAGTTAGGAAGGATATTAATAATCAATATATTCTCTCCTGCCACCCTCAACATTCCCACAAGATAGAGCACAGGGGGCTGCTGGGAGAGAGAAATCACTCCCACATCCTACCCTATATGGTTCAGAAGGACAAAATGATCCTCCAGAGAGGCTTTTTTGGGAGCATAGGAGGATACAGAGTATAGGAGGGACAGGAAAACTTCCTTTCATGAACCTCCTTAAGCCTTTCAGATTTATTGCTGCATAAACATTTTTCACTAGGGCCTACTGTCCGAAGAGAAATTCTAAAATAACCAACTACTGTAGAGAATGATTCCTGTAGAGAAGGCTTCTGGGAAATGATATATAACGAATTGAAAAAAATGTTGAAATATACATTTGTTAAGAAACCAGAGGCATTTTTGTTAGGAATGGTAGGAAATGAAATAAATAGAAAAGATTATAAGCTTTTTTTATACGCAGTAACAGCAGCAAGAATACTGCTAGCCCAAAAATGGAAACAAGAAGAATTTACACCGATGGAAGAATGGAGAATGAAGTTAATGGAATATGCAGAACTTGATAAACTAATAGGAAGGATCCGAGGCCTACGAGACCACAGATTCACTGAAGACTGGAGTAAATTTGTAGACTATTTGAAAAGTATTTGTGAAAAATTGTGTTATGTGTTTTTATATTTTTGTATTGTAAAATGAATAAAAAATAATTCAAGAAAAGAAAAGAAAAAGAGAATGATTCCTGTCACCACCAGGTATGTTAGGAGTCATCTGCAAATGAATACAAAACACACCTCTCATCTTCCATTCCCTTTTATATCACATTTTATATTACAAATTGTAATTTTTGTGCTGAACTTCCTTTGTGCTTAAAGTCGGTGCCGATTAGTTGCCACAGGAGAAGACAAAACAACTGCATTATCTTACTTCACTTACTGTTCAGATATTTCAGCCCAATCTAGATAAAATAAAATACTAAATAGAAGACTCAGTGCTTCTTCCAGAAGACTTAAGGCAGAGAATCCTCTGCTTTTATTATTCAAAGTTGTTTAATGTAGATTGTAAAGATGTTTTATTGGGGTCTCTTTGAAGCAATGTATTATACAGAGCCATGAACGAGTCTTTATGAGCACAAGTGGGAGTCCTAAATGAACAGCGTTTGGAATGTTTGATTTTGAATAGGTAGGTTTATATGAGCAGAAGGCTTGATTGTTGGGGCCCAGTTTATGAATTAGAAGGAGGATTTATTTTATACACCTTGAAATGGGAAGTCAAATCT